CGGCCCGGCCCTGCCCTGCCCAGCCTTGCCCGGCCTGGGTAACAAAGCCACGGAGGCCTCTGTTGGGTGATGTACGCGTGGGGGTTCCGGCGGGCGGGGCGGGGGAGCCGCCACCACCGCTGCGGCCGCCTCCTCCGCCGCTGCTTTCGCTGGAGGGCGGGCGGATGTACGGGGCGGCGGGGGCCCCGGCGCGGAGCGCCTCGGCGCCTGTGGTCCGCTCCTTGCGGCGGCCGACACCGCAGGCGACAGGGTCAGTGGAAGGAGGGCCCCCGGCACCTTTCTCGGCGCCCGGCTGCGCCCAGGGGGAGGAGGTCCGAGGCCGGGGGCGGCGGAGCTGCCGCTCCCGCTGGGGGCTCGGGAAGGGTGTGGAAGGGGAGACTCGTGCGTGGACCGGAGCGTTCCAAGCCGCGGAGGCTCCATCGGCGTTCAGTTTTGCAGGCTGGAATGGTGCGGGCGGCCGCTGCGGTTACACGCGCGGCTTCGGGGATAGGGTGGGCGGGTGTTCTGGGTTTGTTTGTTTGTTTGTTTGTCGAGAAGGGATTCCTCCTATTTAGCACCCAAGTGTCTTTGGGATTGACATTCTCGCTCGGGATATCTCCCGGTTATGAAGTGGTAATCTAGCGTTCTGTGCTGCTTGAAAGTCGTGGAAGATGTCGGTGAATTTAAAGAGAAATGTAAAAGAGACCAAACAATTATGTTTGTGATGGGTGTTTTGCCACCAGTCACTGTGACAACTGTAAAGTCAGCTCAAGGTGTGCTTTCCAGCACTTCCTTAAAGGGTTTCTTGGAGAGACTTGCCTGTAGCAGGTATATTGCCGAACTGAAATTAGGCTCCATTTAACTTAGCTGTAACGAGACTAAAATTGGAGACTAAAACACTAAAAACAGTCTTTTATGGTATGACACAGGTACTTTTAAGGCAATATTTCTCTTTTCCTAGGGTGTCTTTTATGAATAATCAAAAGCAGCAAAAGCCAACGCTATCAGGCCAGCGTTTTAAAACCAGAAAAAGAGGTAAGGATTTATACTGTATTATCACTTGACACCTCCAGATTTTTTTTTTTTTTGTATTTGGATTCCTCTAAAAGTCAGTTTCCTGATACTAAAATCTTAAAAGCCAGAAGTTAGGTTTTTGCCTGCCATTTTGCCATTTCAGATATATCTTAATATTTCTGCTGGTTTCTCAAACCTTTGTTTTTAGGATTGCTCTATACCTTTTTAGTGTAATAAGTACCAAAATAAAAAAAAATAAGGGTTGTGTTCTTCCTAGCTAGTAGTTTTCTTTTTTTTTTTCTTTTTTTGGTGGTCATGGGGCTTGAACTCTGGGCCTGGGCGCTGTCCCTGCGCTCTTCAGCTCAAGGTGAGCGCTCTACCACTTGAGCCACAGTGCCACTTTCTAGCTAGTAGTTTTTTTTAAGCAAAATTTGCTTGAGCAAAGAGGTTATTTTTTAATAGGATCATAAATTTCAACCATATTTTGTGGAGTATATGAAGGCCTGAGATGTAGCTGAGATAGAACACTACCCTAGCATGTGGGAGGTCCTAGAAAAGATGTTTGAGAAAAATCAGACTTAACTTCTGGAAGTTAATTATGGAGTAGGAGTCACATTGTAATGTGTTTTTTTTTTTTTTTCTTAATGTGCTGATACTGGAGCTTGAACTTGGCCTCTCATGCCCTCAATTGGCTTTTGCACGCAAGACTTGTGCTAGGCTTCTGGGTTAATTGAACATAACACTCTGGACTTTTGTGTCCTTGCTGGCTTTGAACTGTGATCTTCAGATCCCAGCTTCAATAGCTAGGATTACAAGCCTCAGCCACCAGTGCCTGCCTATAATGTTTTTTCACATTAAGTGCTTGTCTAGGGTTTATAAGGAAATGTACTAGAGTGATTCCAATTACTTCTTTTCTATTAATGGGTAATTAAATATTAAATTTAGTAGCAAGGCATTGTGCTGATAGTACAGAGCAGAATAAGGTAGTATCTTAGATACATTTTATTTTTATTTATTTTTTTGCTGGTCATGGGGCTTGAACTCTGGGCCTGGGTACTGTCCCTGAGCTCTTCAGCTCAAGACTAGTGCTCCACCACTTGAGCCACAACACCACTTCCAGTTTTCTGGTGGTTAATTGGAAATAAGAGTCTCCCAACTTTCCTGCCTGGGCTGGCTTTGGACCGTGATCCTCAGCTCTCAGCCTCCTGAGTAGCTACGATTACATGTGTGAGCCACTGGCACCCAGCTTCAGATACATTTCATATTAAAACAATATTTTTCCATAACACTTCAAAGTAAGTCTTAGGGACATAGAGAACTAAACAGCTACTGGTTATTAATCATTTGCGTAGTTTGAGATACATAATATAACATCATCTATTATCTTTTTCACTATCTTTATCAATATACATTAACAGAACAAGAATTCCATTATGACATTTCATACAGGTATATGGTGTATCCCAGTTTAACCTTATCCCCTAACATTTTTTTAAAAATCTTATTATTATCATCTGTTCCTTTGTGAGACTAAATGAGACAGGAGACTTTAAACTAGGAAAATCGTAGGCAAAGATTTTTTTTTTTAACCATAATGCAGTGTGAAAATTAAGACACCATTCTCTGGTACTGAGGTTTGAACTTCGGAACTCTTGCTTGCAGGGCTGGCTCTGTACCATTTGAGTCACGCCTACAGCTCAGTTTTTCTTCTTGATGATTATTTTGAAGATGGACTTTAGTAAACTTTTCTGTTGGTTGCTGGCTTTGAACTGCCATCCTCTAGGTCTCAGCTAGAAGTACAAATAGCAAGGATTATAAGTGTGAGCTACTGGTACCCAACTTGCAACAGTTCCTTTAATTTCTTGACTTCCCTCAATGAGGGAAACAAAGTTATACTTAATGAAGTTATGAGGATTAAAGCAAAACGGCTATTATAACACCTGGCTGAGTTGTCATTATATATACTATCCAAAGATTATTTTGGACCCCAGAGCTCATAGCTGTAACCCTAGCTACAAAGGAGGCTAAAATCTGAGGCTCATGGATCAAAACCAGATGGAGCAGGAAAGTCTGTTGAGACTTATACCCAGTTAACTACCCAGAAAAGCTGGAAGTGGAGCTGTGGCTCAAGTTGTAGAGCTGAAGCCCTAAGTAAAAGATAGTACCCAAACTCTGAGTTCAAGTCCCAGGATTGGCACAAAAATAAATAACAAAAACAAAGATTACCTAGGTAAATAACAAGTGGTTAATTTTTCTTTTTAATGGTAGGAACATTTAATGAAAAGAGCCAAGTTTCTGTATTTTGGCAAATTTTCAGAGGAATAAAATTTACCTAAGGTATAAAGGATAGCCTAAGTTTGAAACGAGATGTTAGGTAGAAATCATCTCTGGCAGTGGTAACAGGAACCACTAGCACAGATTTATCTGGAAAAGTAGCAGAATAGCCACATAGGATTAGGATTAGCCCATCCTGCTTTGGTATTGCAGAGGACCTTGCAGAGATGTGTATTTAGTCTCTACTTGTTTCCTTGATACAAGTCTTGGGTTCTGTAACTTTTTTTTTGAATTGCCCTTAAATCTTGAAGCATTGTAACTTCATTAAGATTATGATTCATGACATTTTGGTGAGCCTCTTAACACTAATATTTTGGATTTTTTCCCCCAGATGAAAAGGAGAGGTTTGACCCTACTCAGTTTCAAGACTGTATTATTCAAGGCTTAACTGAAACTGGTACTGATTTGGAAGCAGTAGCTAAGTTTCTTGATGCTTCTGGAGCAAAACTTGACTACCGCCGCTATGCAGAAACACTCTTTGACATTCTGGTGGCCGGCGGAATGCTGGGTAGGTATCTGGGTTTTGTGGGTAATTAGGGAACTGTAATATGTGAAAATTATGGAGAATTCAGGATTAAACTATTTCGTTTTGTTTTGTAAGCTTGTCATTAAGTTATCAAATTGTTCTGGCCTAGTAAGCCTCATGCTGGCAGCCTGTACAAAATCCTTGGGGATAAATTTTCTCTGATGCCTAAGTTCACTCCTTCAGTATCCTGAGTGAAGGATTTTTTTTTTAGCTTGTGTTTATACTCAATTGCTGGAAAAATCCTGATTTGTTTTTATTTTTTATGTTGTACAAAGGAATCGAATCCAGGGCCTCATGCATGCTAGGCAAGGACTCTACCACTACGCCACATTCCCAGCCCTCTGAGCTCTTATTCTGCCCTGTGAAATGCTTCTAATATGCCTTGAACACTGGGGTCCTTTGTGCAGTAGCTTCTAGCCACAAGTGCCTATCATATTCTTGGAATGAGGCAGTCTAATTGAGATATACAGTATATCTCAATTCAATCACATATTGAATATAAAAAATTTTTTTTTTCTTCCAACAGATCTGGGAAATTTTAGATTTTTTTAAATTCTCCTTGGTATTTCAATTTGTGTTAGACTGCTTGATTGATATTTCACAGATCCCTGAGGCCCTGTGTTCATTTTTATTATTTATTTATTTTGTTGTTAGTCATGGGCTTGAACTTAGGGCCTGGGTCCTGCCCCTGAACTCTTTTGGTCAAAAGCTAGCGTTCTACTACTTTGAGCCACAGCAACACTTCTGCATATTGACTTGTAATTGAAAATGTAACTATTTCATAGAATATTTTCAGAGAAGTAATGTGTTACCCTGTGTAATTAGCTAATTAGCTTGAGAGAATTGGAACTATCAGCTTGCATGAGCTATAGGCTTGCATGACATGTAATAATTTACTGAGTGGTGAAACATAAAAACTTAATCATATATTCTTATGCCTAGTCAGGGGGCCATTTCTTTATATTAAAAATTAATGGTAGGGGCTGAGAAGGTGGCTCAGTGGTAGAGTGCTTGCCTTGCATGCATAAGGCCCTGGGTTCGATTCCTCAGCACCACATAAGAAGAAAAAGCTGGAAGTGGTGCTGTGGCTCAAGTGGTAGAGCGCTAGCCTTGAGCTGAAGAGCTGAGGGACAGTGTTCAGGCCCCACGACCAGCAAAAATAAATAAATACGACTTTTCTTTTCATAATACTGCTATCAACAAGGATTTTGTTTTTGGGGGGCTTTTGTTTTGTTTTTCTGGTCATGGGACTTGAAATCAGGGCCTGGGTGCTGTCCCTGAGCTTTTTTTGCTCAAGAGTAGCACTTTAGCACTTTGAGCTCTACTTCTGGCTTTCTGGTGGTTAATCTGAGAGAAGAATCTCAAGGATTTTGCTGCCCTGACTAGCTTCCATCCATGATCTTCAGATCCCGGTAGCTGGGATTAGAGCCACTAGCATCCGGCAATATGATTTTTGTTGTTGTTTTCTTTCTTTTTTTTGGGGGGGGGGCTAGTTCTGGGGCTTGAACTCAGGGCCTGGCCTAGACACTGTCCCTGAGCTTCTTTTGCTCAAGGCTAGCACTCTACCACTTGAGCCACAAACCCAATTACAGCTTTTTCTGTTTATGTGGTACTGAGGAATCAAACCCAGGGCTTCATGCATGCAAGGCAAGCGCTACCACGAGCCACATTCCCAACCCTGTTCTGTTCTTTTTTCATTTCAGTGTTTATACTCAGGGTGGCTGGCACTCTACTATTTGAGCCACACTTCCAGTCTGGCTCTTTATTGGTTACTTTTGGAAATGGAGTCCCTCTGACTTCTGGTTTCATTCAAACTATGATCCTTTGGATCTTGGTCTCCTAAATAGTTCAGAGTACAGAGCAAGTCTGTCGTTACTAAGGAATTTTTTTTACTGGGACAGGAACTGGTGTGTCAGAGTGATAAAGGGGATTGAACCTAGTGCCAGCTCTTGCTAAGGAAGCACTCTACTTTTGAGATAGGCCTCTAATCCTTGGTTTGTGACAATCCTGGGGGTTTAGCTCAGGGCCTCATTTGCTGGGAAGCACTCTACCATATCCAGTCAGCCCTTCATTTTGTTTCTGAGATAAGATCTCCCTGACTGGGCAGGCTAGCCTTGAAGCTCACTATCATACCACCACCTACTAAGTAGCTGGGATTGCAGACTTGTTCTGCTGTGCCTGGTTAAGGAAGATTTCAGACATTCTAACCATTTGCTTAACTTCACAGTTATTAACACAAACTTTATATATATATATATATACCTTATACATTTCACTCATACATAATTTTTCTACTTTACTTTCACTCAGTGGGTTTATTTTTGCCATATTTGGGGTTAAACTCAATTCACACTTGCTGGGCAAGAACACTTGAGACATACCCCTAGTCTTATTTATATATGTATTTTGCCTTGGGTGTGTGATAATAATGGAGTTTGAACTTGGCCTCATACTTGGTAGGTAAGCGCTCTACCAATTGAACCATATCTCTACCCTGTTTGTTTGTTTGTTTGTTTTTTGGTGGGGGAGTGTTTTTGTTTTAATGTTGGAGCTTGAACTTAGGACCTCTGATGCTTGCTCAACTGTTTTTGTTTTTAGCTGGCATTTGAGCCCTAACTCCAGGTCTCACTTTTTGCTGGGTAATTGGAGATAAGAGTTTCAGATTTGTCTGCCTGAGCTGGCTTTAAACTGTTGTAAATATACTTCCCAATTACCACTGTAGTCACAATGAAAGACACAAAAATACTGTGTCAGCTAGGCAAAATTTACTTCTGTGCAGTAGGGTGCACCATTAGCCAAAAATCTGGCAAGCAAGCACACGTAGGCAGTCTACTAGGCTCTGCCCCTCAGTTCAGATTGGTTGAGCTCAGGTTCACAGTCTGCTCAACTAGCTAGTTTGAATAAGGTAAAAACAGTTCACAAGTAATCTCAAATATACCTGTATCTTCTGCTGCTTCTTGAACAGTCTAGGATGTGTAGTAATTCCATCTTGAACAGAAACTAGTTTAAGATAACCTCACATTTTGCAGATCCCTTTTCTTATCCCAAAGCAGTTCTTCTTTTTCTTAACAAGAGCCTAACCACCAGGACAAAGCTGCACACTGACAGAAAGGACAGTTTTTCTCACAATTGTGTGATCTTTTCATAGCCTTCTAAGTAGCTTGGATTATAGGTATTAGCTACCAGTTCTCAGCTCAGGTTTATTTTTGAAATTAGGTTTCCTTAAATATCACCCAAACTGGCTTTAAACTTCTGCTTAACTGTGTTTGCAACTACTGAGAAGCTGGGATTACAGCTGTATGCTACCATTCCTGGATATTCAAACATTCTAAAGCGAATGGCATAGTGAACTTTTTTTTTTTTTGGCCAATCTTGGGCCTTGAACTCAGTGATTGAGCACTGTCCCTGAGCCTCTTTGTGCTCAAGGCTAGTGCTGTACCATTTGAGCCACAGTGCTACTGCAGGCTTTTTCTAAGTGGTTTATTGGAGATGGAGTCTCATGGACTTCCTGTTTTCTAGTGGTTTAATTGAAGATAAGAGTCTCATGGACTTTTCCTGCCCAGGCTGGCTTTGAACCATGATCCTCAGATCTCAGTAGCTGGGATTACAAGTGTGAGCCACTGGAATCTGGCTGAATATTTGTTCTCTTAGCCAACTTCAGTAACTATATATTCCTATAAAATTTAAGCTGGATGTGGAACACTAAGATCTCTTAGAAGATTTAATGGTTTGTTGGTGCTCAAGGGTATTTGTGTTTTGGAGAGGAGCAATACTAAAATTTGACCCGGCCTGCCTCATGTTTCCTAGGCAGATGGATGCAATCAAAACCAACTGGGAATCTCCACTTGATCAGTTTGGCCCTATTAAATGGTTCAGTATAGTTTATGGGTTTGGGTTTGATTGATTCTGAAAAAAATTTCCTTATACAGAACCAGCAAGCCTTTACACTTTTAATTTATCTTGAATTTTACTATTTTCTTTTAAAATGTTGAAAATCCTTATTTTAAAAAAACGAAATTGAAATGATCAGCTTTTTTTTTTTGTTTTTTGTTTTTGTTTTGTTCACCTTTTAATGAAATAAACCTTAGCCCCAGGTGGTACACTGGCAGATGACATGATGCGTACCGATGTCTGCGTGTTTGCAGCACAAGAAGACTTAGAGACCATGCAAGCATTTGCTCAGGTAAGTGAAACTTCATTATGTTCAGTTAGTTAGCTACTGTCCATTTCACTTGTGTTTAAGGGATGTTCTTCTTTGAAAAAGTTGCAGGTAGGAATTTAAAGGAAATTGATATTAAGTTTTAGAAATACTGTTTGTTCTTAGTGCAATATGAATTAGGGACTTCAGGTGTAGAAAGGAGAATAAAGTAGAAAAATAGTTCTTTTTTACTTTTTGTCTGGAATTATTCATGTTTTTAAGGAGTATCATAGTGGGCATGGTGGTGCATGCTTGCAATCCCAGCACTCTGAAGACTAAGCCAGGAAAATCCACAAGGGCCAGTCTAGGCTGTTACAGAACAAGACCCTGTCTAAGGAAGGAAAGAAAAAGGTTTTAAGCCTAGAAGAAAAATCAGTTTCTATATTGTGACTTCCAAAGTGGAGCCAGGTCTGCATATTACTGGTTTTCAAGGGAAAGTAAGTTACAGATAGCTTATTAAGCCGGGCGCTGGTGGCTCACGCCTGTAATCCTAGCTACTCAGGAGGCTGAGATCTGAGGATCGCAGTTCAAAGCCAGCTCGGGCAGGAGAGACTGTGAGACTCCTATCTCCAATAAACCACCAGAGAACTGGAAGTGGCGCTGTAGCTCAAGTGGTAGAGCGCTCCCCTTGAGCTGAAGAGCTGAGGGACAGTGCCCAGGCCCAGAGTTCAAGCCCCACGACCGACAAAAAAACAAACAAACAGATAGCTTATTAAGATTTCCTTTGAAGAGTTCAGGTGTAATTATATTCTCATCAGCATATGCGAAGAATTTAAGCAGTTAATAGCATCTTAATGTGCTGGGTGTTTGTGTTATGTAACTACTCAGGAGGCTGTCTTGGATACTTGAGGTTTGTGTTAATAGTGTTTGTAGAGTTGAGGAATTGAACTCATCTCAACTTGACTTAAAGCATGTAAACATTATATCCAGTGGAAAGTTCCTTTTTCAGCTTTGTTGTTCTCCATAGGTTTTCAACAAGTTAATCAGGCGCTACAAATACCTGGAGAAAGGTTTTGAAGATGAAGTAAAAAAGGTAATATCATAATATCAACCACTCTGCTTGTAATTTAACTTATGTGATTTTCATAAAAATCCTGTTAGGATTGTTCACATTTTATGTATTAAGAAACTGAGGCTTTGAGTCTGAATAACTTGTCCAAGATTGTTCAGTTAATGAACATATACATGGATGGTTAGGTCCCGGAGCCCATCCATTTAACTAATACCATGCTTTTACTGCCTGACTTAATACAATGCAATTGTTCCCCTAATTCTTTATTTACTTTTTACAGCTGTTGCTGTTCTTAAAGGGTTTTTCAGAGTCGGAGAGGAACAAGCTGGCTATGTTGACTGGTGTCCTTCTGGCTAATGGGACACTTAATGCATCCATTCTTAATAGCCTTTATAATGAGAATTTGGTTAAAGAAGGTAATTGACTTTGAGTAAAGGGTGGTCTTTGTTTTGATTTTTGAGAGTGAAATAAAAGAGTGAAAGTCAAACTGATAGAAACCTTGGGGAGTGTGGCTTACTGTTCATTGGTATGCAGTCCAATTTAGACATTTTTTTGAATAACATTGGCATCCAAGTTTGGCTTTCTTTTAGTGTGCAATAAATATCCAGCATTTATACAATGTGACTAAATATAATGAAAGTGAAAAATACTGTGGGAATATATATTACCTAATTTGTAAGAAAAAGATATGTAGATTAGGGTAATGATGGACTACCCTTGTGAAGTTTAAAAGGTGATTGTGACTTTAGCTAAGTATAACTATACCACAGTATTGTGAAATTTATATAGTCACTTATTCTCAATATTAAGAATTATTTGGAAAAAATACTGTGGGAACTCAAAAGGAGATTCATGCAGATTGGGAAACATGGTAATGGAGAAGATAATGTAGGAAAGCTGGCAAAATCATTACGATAGTTTGAGAACTTTTCCCCTACTCTTATTTTAAAATGTTTTTTTTTTTCATCTTCAAAATAGCCATATTTACTGTACAACTTGTCACCTTCAATTTACACAATAAACATTTTGAATAAAGGCAGGCTTAAGGTAGGTTTAGGAGGCTCACACCTATAGTCCTGTTTACTCAGGAAACTCAGATCTGAACGTTACAGAAGCCAGCCCTGGCAGGAAAGCCAGTGAGACCCTTTTCTCCAGTTAAGCACCAAAATATCCAGAAGTGAAGAAGGGGCTCACGTGGTAAAGAGCTAGCCAAAAACTCAGTGACAGTACCCAGTCCCTGAGTTTGAGCCCCCAGGACTGGCACACCCACATTTAAGAAACATCCAAGAAGAAGCCACCAACAAATGATAGGATAAAGTTGGGACTTTATGGTAGTCAGTACCAGAGAAAGTTGAGGATCCTGAGTGGTTGAGTTGTGAGAGTTAGTACAGCAGGAAACAGTCATTAAAATTTAGGAAACTACTTGTGTTAACAACTGCCCTTTCCCCCCTCACTTTCATAGGGGTTTCAGCAGCTTTTGCTGTAAAGCTCTTTAAATCATGGATAAATGAAAAAGACATCAATGCAGTAGCTGCCAGTCTTCGAAAAGTCAGCATGGATAACAGACTGATGGTTGGTAACTTTTTTTTCTCATTCCTGCTAATTCGTAAGGCAAGTGTAATGAGAAATTTTTTTATTCATTTCATTGTGTGTTACACGCACGCACATGCCCATGTTTGTGCTAGTATTGGGGCTTGAACTCTGGGCCTTGCACTTTGTTTTTCTTGAATGTCATTTAAAAGTATTTAACACTAAATTCCCCTTTCAGGAACTTTTTCCTGCCAATAAGCAGAGCGTGGAACACTTCACGAAGTATTTTACTGAGGCAGGCTTAAAAGAGCTTTCTGAGTACGTTCGGAATCAGCAAACCATAGGAGCTCGCAAGGAGCTCCAGAAAGAACTTCAGGAACAGATGTCCCGTGGTGATCCATTTAAGGATGTAAGATATTTGTGTTTAAGCCATCTTTTTATGGGTAAACTTCTGGAGTAGACATTTCCATGCATTTGAGAAATTGTAATGTTTCATCAGGATGAGTCTGAATTAGTAAGAATTGTACAATGGTGTACTTGCAGCCATTTTTTTAGGCATGCTTAGTGATTTACTGAAGCCCAGAAATAACTTCAGGAGATTTCATAGGTAAGGTTTAGTGCAGTAGACATTCCTGTTTCTTAATTCCCCTCCTAGCTTATTTGTCTGTATGGAAAATGAAGTTGAGACTTAAGCCCCCTTCCAGTTGCAGAGTTTTTATTTATGTGTGCTGCATAAGTGGTTGTTGCCAGTTTCCAGGAGAAGTATTGCTGTGTTTTTGTAAGAAAGGTAAATTTGCTGGATACCAGTGGGTCACATGTATGTAATCCTTGCTATTCAAGTGGCTGAGATCTGAGGATTGTAGTTCAAAGCTAGCCCGGGCAGTGAAGTCCATTATCTCCAATTAACCACTAGAAAACTGGAAGTGGGCTCTGTGGCTCAAAGTGGTAGAGTGCTAGCCTTGAGCTCAAGAGCTCAGGGAGTGCACCTAGGCCCAGAGTTCAAGCCCCAGACCTACAAAAAAAAAGAAATGTAAATTTGGTGTGTGAAGATAAACATACCAAAACTGACATACTACTAAATGTGGATGATTTTGCAGATAATTTTATATGTCAAGGAGGAGATGAAAAAGAACAACATCCCAGAACCAGTTGTTATTGGGATAGTCTGGTCAAGTGTGATGAGCACCGTGGAGTGGAACAAAAAAGAGGAGCTTGTAGCAGAGCAAGCCATCAAGCACTTGAAGGTATTGGAACTGTGTGCTTAAGTGGGCATAAGTGAACTGTCAGTGTACTTCTTCCTAGGAGGATTTGCCTTCATCCTTCCATTCTTAGGATGATTCACCAGCTGTTAGATAGCATTGGCTACTGACAATCCACTCTTTTAAGGCTGACATGAGCTTTATTTAGTTTACAGATTTAAAACAAAACCATGTTTAAATGTAGTTTAAGTCTGTAAATTGATGTTCGTTTCTGAGAGAGTATTGGAAAATAGAAGGGCTCTTTTAAAAACAATGTTAGAAAGGATATTGTTTGACTGAAATACAGAGTATTGCTTACTTGATTTAGATGCTTTGATTTTTTTTTTCTAGCGTACTTTTTTTGTTTTTATTTTCTTTTGTACTGGTTCTGGGACTTGAACTCATTGTTTCTCAGCTTTTTTTGCTCAAGGCTAGCACTGTACTACTTGAGCCACAGCGCCACTTCCAGCTGGTTAATTGGAGATAAAAGTACCATACACTTTCTTGCTTGGGCTGGCTTCAAACTCAGCCTCCTGAGTAGCTGAGATTGCAGACATCAGCCCTGGACTTCTTGATTTTCAATAAATAGGTTCTGGTTCACAGTGATTGTAAAAATGAGACTGGGCACTGGCTCACACCTGTAATCTTAGCTACTGTGGATGCTGAGATCTGAGGGTTAAATCCAGTCCTGACAGAATAGTTAAGACACTCTTACTTGAGTTGACCAGCAAAAAGAAGTAGCAGTGTGGTATAGCACCAGCCTGAGCAGAAAAGCTAGGTGAGAGCATGAAGCCCTAGTTCCAAACAAAAAAACATTTTGTTAAAAGGTGAGTTTGGTTTTGTATTATATGAATTTTGTTATGGACTGTCATTGTAAGGATGACTAAATATTTTCTTCCATTTAAAAGCAATACAGCCCTCTACTTGCTGCCTTTACTACTCAAGGTCAATCTGAGCTGACTCTGTTGCTGAAGATTCAGGAGTATTGCTATGACAACATTCATTTCATGAAAGCCTTCCAGAAAATAGTGGTGCTTTTTTATAAAGGTAATTTAAATCTTGTAATTAAATCTTGAGTTTTGTGAATTCTTTATTAAAAATCCTTGAAAACCCAAAATTTTTTAGTTCAGATGACTATTGGGTCCCTGAAAATGCGCTATGTCTAGTCACAAGGTGGAAATCAGATTAAATTGGATGGGTTTTTGTTTTAAGTATATTTACCATCTAATGTCTTGGTCCTACTCACAAAGTAAAATCCAAAGCCCAAACATCGGATCCTGCATTGTTGCCATGTCAGATCCTCTAGTCCTCAAGACTAGAGCACCTCCCTCCCTTCACTTCATCGTAGCACTGCATATGCTCTCTCACTGGAGCTTCAAGACCAGCTAGCCGACAGACACCCTGTTTCATTACTACTCCATTTTCTGATTTACAAAATAAAATTTTCAGAAACCAGGCCTAAAGGGATTAATAGACAAGGCCACTGTTGGAAAAGAATGTTAACATTTCATTTACTTTGGTCGGTAATAGAGCATTTTTAAAAATTGTGCATTAGTCAAGCCAACCTTGATGCCAATGTGTATAGATGCTGTATATATGTATTCTACCCTTTAGTTTTGAAAGACAACTTTATATTCTGCACTGATGAGGAATCTACCATCATTCTCACCTATTTGTTTAAAGGAAAATTGGGTAAAGAGCCAGGTGCAGCCGGGCGCTGGTGGCTCATGCCTGTAATCCTAGCTACTCAGGAGGCTGAGATCTGAGGATCGCGGTTCAAAGCCAGCCCAGGCAGGAGAGACCGTGAGACTCCTATCTCCAATAAACCACCAGAAAACCGGAAGTGGCGCTGTAGCCCAAGTGGTAGAGTGCTCGCCTTGAGCTGAAGAGCTGAGGGACAGTGCCCAGGCCCAGAGTTCAAGCCCCACGGCCGACCAAAAAAAAAAAAAAGAGCCAGGTGCTTGTAATCTGAGCTACTTGGCAAGAAGGCTAAGATTAAGAGGAGTGTGGTTCAAGGCTAGTCCATGAAGAAACATTAGTGAGGCTCCATCTCAATAGCAGAAGCCAAGCATGATAGTACATGCTTGTCACTTAGCTAGGGTACATGCCTGGGCAGAGCACAAAAAAGGGTTTGAAGTGTGGCTCAGTGGCAATTATAAGGCTCTGAGTTGAAATCCAGTACTGTCAACAACTTTTTTCTTAAGTTGGGGTTGTTAACTCAGAATGTCCATACATTGGTTATTGTAAAATATAAGATTTTTAAAAAAACAAAAAGTTTTATCTTTCAACTTAAAAAGTTAGGTGTCAATCTATCCAATATCCCTGCTTGTTTATTTTTATTTATTTATGTATTTTTGCCAGTCCTGGGGCTTGAACTCAGAGCCTGGGCACTGTCCCTGAGCTTGTTTTTGCTCAAAGTTAGCACTCCACCACTTGAGCCATAGTGCTACTTCCAGCCTTTTCTGTTTATGTGGTACTGAGGAATGGAACCCAGGGCTTCGTTCATGCTAGGCAAGCACTCTACCACCAAGCCACATTCCTAGCCCTCTGCTTGTTTAATACCTTACCATTGCAAACATTTAAGACAGCATTCTCTTCTTTGTGACTGCCCTGTATTTTTCATAGACTGGAATATAACAACATTTTGGTTTTCTGTCCAGATGTCAGTAATGTCTCTCTGTAGTGAGAACCAAGAGTGTCTCTAGATGTGTGAACCATCCCCAGGAGGAATGGGGACAAGGACAATTAGCTTCAGTTGAAAACTTCATTTGTTCATTACGTTTTCTCTGTGGTTGGTTTTAGGTTCATGCATTGGTAATTAGTTGATAAAAGTCAAATCTCAAGTTTGAGACTAGCCTGGGCTACAATAGCAAGACCCTGTTGTTGTTGTCGTCGTTGTCAGTTGTGGGGCCTGAACTCTGGGCCTGGGCGCTGTCCCTTAGCTCTTCAGCTCAAGGCTACTCTACCACTTGAGCCACAGTGCCACTTCCGGCTTTTTTCTTTTTGCTTATGTGGTGCTGAGGAATCGAACCCAGGGCTTCATGCATGCAAGGCAAGCACTGTACCACTGAGCCACCTTCCCAGCACTTTTTTTGTTTTTGTTAAGGGTTTTGTTTCTCTTCTTGAAATCAGTTGTTGAAGAAATAAAAATCGAGCTGGGCGCTGGTGGCTCATGCCTGTAATCCTAGCTACTCATGAGGCTGAGATCTGGGGATTGCAGTTCAAAGCCAGCCTGGGCAGGAAAGATCGTGAGACTCCTATCTCCAGTAAACCACTAGAAAACCAGAAGTGGTGCTGTGGCTCAAGTGGTAGAGCGCTAGCCTTGAGCTGAAGAGCTGAGGGACAGCGCCCAAGCCCAGAATTCAGGCCCCACGACCGGACCCAAAAAAAAGAAAAAAGAAAAGTAAAAATGGTTTTCACTTAGTTTTCCAGTAGGATAGTATTTGCCAAGCAGAGCAGGACTTTATGCCATAGACGTTGAAATTTTCTTGAGGTGAAGAAGCAGATTAAAACTCAGGTGTCATGATTTATTCTTTATAGCTGAAGTACTGAGTGAAGAGCCCATTCTGAAGTGGTATAAAGATGCCCATGTTGCCAAGGGGAAAAGTGTCTTCCTCGAGCAAATGAAAAAGTTCGTAGAATGGCTCAAAAATGCTGAAGAAGGTAAGTGTTTTCGTTTGTGCAATGACTAGAAGCATTTTAATGTGGCTGTGGTGTATGTCAATACAAGCTGTATTTGGGGGGCTTGCCTAACCACTTTATACACACACTAGAGATTTTTTTTTTGTACGTGCGCCTTACTGATGTATGAGCTTACGGTCTGAGTGCTGTCCCTTAACTTTTTCACTCAAGGCTATTCTACCACTGAAGCCACACTTTGACTTTGGGTGTTTTGTTGGTAAACTGGAGTTAAGTCTCATGGGGTCCTGGGCTGGCTTCAAACTATCTGGCTGAGATTTTTTTTTTTTGACATATATAAACTAACGTGGGCAACTTTTATGTTCAGATAGACAATGCTTGACTACATTTTTCCCCTTTTCTAGAATCTGAGTCCGAAGCTGAAGAAGGTGACTGAATTTTGAAACTCCACCCTCAGTAAAGCAAACAGGAGTTGTAGATAAATGTCACGTCTCATGTGTCCTGGTTCTTACATCTTCCTACCTCCCTATATCAAGCATGATATAAGGGCTTTCATGGCAAATTTATTTTAACTGTTTCTATGGTTACTGGAAATGTTGGATTTAGTTTCTAAAACCATGTTTTAAGTAGCTACAGGAGCTGTAGATTTGAATCTAATGTTGCTTTAGGGTTTTTTTTTTTCAGTTATCTTCTACCTCCTGTATTTTCTACTGTAATAATGTAATTTAAGGCCTTCCACAATGAACACTTCACTTTATTCCCTGGGTTTTTCTATATAACAGTTTTCAAGATATGATTTGGTTAAAAATAATTTGTTAGAAAAATTCTGTTTTGCAAATTAAACTGTAAAAGTATCCAAAGTCTCGAAAGACAATGATTTGTGTGATAATTTGGTATGTCCAGAGCCCTGTTCATCAATGAAAATCTTAGATGATAAGTGAACCCATTAAATATGAACCCTGGATATTGGGACCATTGCTGTGTGTTACCATATTCTTGTCTTTTAAACCCCAGGTGTCCTTAGGTTGTTTGCTGGTTTTTATCCTCAATGAAGGTATAGAGAACAAACTTCAGAAGTTTGAGAAATCATATGTGGCAGAAGTGGGGGGAAGGAGAGTCGAGCTTTTTCCCACTGAGAAACTTCTGCATTGTTTGAATCTTTCAGGCAAAGAAAATGGCTATTCTTTTCATATAAGCATTTCCAAGTATACCTTAGAAAGTCTTTATCAATTAAAATATTTTATGCTCAGAATATACTTAAATTGATATGAAATAACCTTTAAAGAATCGTTAAGGAAATGACTGCTGTATTAAACGCCAGTAAAAGTGGTTAAATGCTAAGGATGAGCATGTTCTAATTGAGGATCTAAATGTGACTTGTATTTCCTATTGGTTTAGAATACTTGTAAAGAATGAAGTGTAATGTAACTATATATTCCCACTTGGTCTTACTGGACGGGCTTCATTCTATTACCATAGTAAGGCCTCAAGCACCTGGCTATTAACGTACCCTTCCATTTTGCCTTTTTTTTTTTTTTTTATTGCCACAAGCCAAATATATCTTCTAAATGATGGATCCATTTAATGGCTGCCTTTCCATTTTCATCTCTCTTCTTGTTACCTATCTGTAAATGTAGTCAATAATGGGGGAAATCTAGCCAAATTTTTGAGTGCAAAGGCATGCTAAAATTAATTTTTTGAAGGTTTTTAATTGGCAAAAAATAGCTTAGAATAATGCCACCCGGAGACTTAGTGGAAATCGCCACTTTGAAGGTACCATTCATTAGTTGGGTGTTTAAAAAGTTCATCTTGAGGGAATAACGTGTAATATAATTTGAAATAAAGATAAGGTAATCTTAAGAGCACTATAACTGATAACATTGTGACTGGGGTGAGTTTGTTAAGTGAATAACTTTGATAAAGTTTTCATGCACAGGCAAAATGTATTTACTAGATTTCTATGTAGTATTCTGCTTTTACTTTGTAATTTGTAGTCCTCAAGAATTTTTTTTTAAAATAAAGTCCATCCTTATACTTAGGTTTTATACATTAGTCTTTTTTTTAATATAAATTTTATTTTAAGACCTAATGGTATATTGTATGTTGAATGCTCAGATGTCTTTATAATCATTAAAGAGCAACTCCTTTGATCCTCCTGTAACTCAAACCTGTAAAGCACCTACACAGAATTATGATGTAGCCACAACTACATTGACATTTCTACAGTGAAGTCATTGCATGTTGCTGCCGTCCAAGGTGTGCCCTGTTTTATTATATACTGTGTATAGTGAGAGTTTGTAGTCTTCCAAAGCTACATTATGATCTTTGATCATGGTTTCTTTTCTTCATGACACAGTAATATTTACTTATTACAGTATTTAGTAAATGCATATATCACCTATTGTAAAGAAAGAATGCATTATAAAATGATTTTCCTTTTGAATTTTAAGTGATAATTTTAGAACTCTGCTGCCAGTGCCAGCCTTTGGCTTCAAATATGTAATTCTTAATGTAGATGTTAAAACTGTACTTTTAGTTATGATTGGGGAAATGTTCATTGGTTTTTTTTCCTATGGAGTCTCTTGGATATTATGATGTATTTAGAGCTGAACATAAATTTCTTAATCTTACTCTGGGAGTATTATCCTAGAGATACTTACTCTGTTATTAAAAAAATAAAAGTTCCATATAGCAGAAATGCCACAGAACAGACCAACATAGCATAATGTGTTGGTGAGGGGGGGCTGCATGTGACCAAAATACTAGTTTATAATTCAGTGTTTCTCCAGCTTTTTCCATTATCAGAACTCCAAGAAGCCTTTTTATTTTCCCTAATAGAATCCCCAATAAATTTTAATAGAGATATGCTGTGTATGTATTGTCTGCTTTGTACATGCAAAGAAAGTGTTTTGGCCTCTGAAATTACCAGTGAGAATGTGTCTCTTAATTTGTATCCTGTTAAAATGGGAAGGAGACTTACACATGTTTGGTTCTGTGGTGTGAGACAATATTTTTCTGTAGGGATCGCAAGAAAATTTGTTTCCTGCATATTTGGATTTTCCCACCCCGGGCTTTGCACTATAACCCACTGCAGGCAAGACATTTCCTCATTGGCTTTGGACCGCTTCACAGGTTGATTGTAAATACGTCATTAGGAAGAATCATTTGGGTTTCCCCTAAATTATAAAAAACACTGAAAGTCTTCCAGAAAGTTTCTGGTATAGAGGTGGTAAGTAGTAGTGAAATTTTGCTAATGGACATCAGTCTTCTCAAAGTGCTTGTGAGAACTAAAACTATCGAAGTTTAGAGTATATTTCTATATTACTGTTGTTTTCCTCAGATGCTGTTGATAGATGTAAAGTAGGTCAATACATTTGTGTAGGGCCGTGTGTTAAATTGCCTTGATAGGATCTTTTTAATACTCTAGTATCAGCATGAAATATTTTTACTCATAGCCTGCTGAGGCTTAAAGCTTTATTATACTGGTGAAAAGATTTTCTATGTGTGTGCACATATGCATGCAAGAGCTTGAATTTATGATCTTGGGTTCCTTCACTCAAGGCTAGCACTTTTCACTTGAACCACACACCTCTTCTGTGGGCTTGATTTATGAAGAATCTGAGTAAGTACTTCAAAATAATCACATAATTGACTTTTTTAAGATCTTAAATTCTAGTGAGTTAACATTCCTCACAGGTATTTTTGTTTTTGTTTTCGAGTCCGGTCGTGGGGCCTGAACTCTGGGCCTGGGCGCTGTCCCTCAGCTCTTCAGCTCAAGGCTAGTGCTCTGCCACTTGAGCCACAGCGCCACTTCCGGCTTTTTTCTTCTTATGTGGTGCTGAGGAATCAAACCCAGGGCCTCCAGGCATGCAAGGCAAGCGCTCTACCACTGAGCCACCTTCCCAGCCTTTTTTTTTTTTTTTTTCCCCTGTGGCAGCAGTACAGAGTGAATTTGGAAACTTGTTGTTAGGTAGGTTCTCTACCACTTGAACTACTCCCTTGCCCATATGAACACAAAGTATAGTTGTTTAGAACTATGTGAAAGCCTTCATTGAAGTTCTACATTTGTAGCTTATGCCTGTAATTCTAACCTGTAATTCAAAGCCAGCCTGAGAAAGTCCTGAGACTTATCTCTAGCCACCAAAAAGGGAGAAGTGGAGAGTGCTAGCTTTAACTAAAAATGCTAACAGCACCACCCAGGTTCTGAGTTTAAACCTCACACAAAAAAATTTCTGGGGGGGTGAGGGGAGATGGGAAGGGATGGTAGGGGGAAACGGGAGGAGACAACAAAGCTTGATAAGAAATGTACTCTTTTGTCTATACTTACCCCAAGACTGACCCTAGAAAGCCCTTAGTGATCTGACCCCTTATTCTTGTCTAATAACAGTTCCAACCAGGCTTGACTCTTTACTGTTTCTTCAATTAGGGATGCTTCTGCCTCCAGCAATTACCAATTCCTTTACCTGTACACATTCCTGCCTAGATTCTCCCATCCCTAGTAGAACTCAAACCTAAGCCTTGCACACACCATGTGCCAACACCACACCCCCTAGTCCATTTAACAACTGCTCAGAATTAACAGTATTTACTGAACTGTCATGGGCCATTGGGATATACTACATATTAAAATACCTGATTGTGATGGTGTTCATCTTTCAGAAATGAATATAATGTTAAGACTGAATCAAGGGCTGGGACTGTAGCTTTATTGGTAGAGTGCTTGCCTAGCATGTAGGAAGTCCTGAATTGGATTCCACAGTGCCACATAAACAGAAAAGGCTGGAAGTGGCACTCTGGCTCAAGTGGTAGAGTGTTAGGCTTGAACAAGAGATCAGGGACAGTGCCCAGGCCCTGAGTTCAATCCCCAGGACTGGTTTAAAAAAGACTGGATCAAGAATGTCCCCACTTCCCATAAAGTCCTGTACATTATAAAGACTTGCAGAAGCAAGTACTATTACTGGCTTTTGGCAAGACATTTTTGAAGAGGTGGGACCTAATGGGAGGGACAAAGTGTCTCCCTTCCAACTGGCTATGCAGAACAGCTTGTTCCATGTACCTCTGCACAACGTACTGCCACACTTAAGAGGCCCAAAGCCAGTAGAGTCAAAACAACCAAAACTTCTCAAAGTAAACTAGCTTTAAGTTGATTCAATTGTCACATAGATACAAAGAGTTGTTGCAATTTTAAATGGATATGAAATGACCTCATGGTAATGTATCAACACTTGGGATGGAATTCCACATTAAGATGGACTGTATTTGGTGGGTTTGAGGACTAACTGGTCTGAGAAGGTAGCTGCCTATGTCCTGAGAAATGGATGGGATAGCATAAGTTGCAGACTTTACTAAAGGCAACTTTTTGTGTATGTATATATGTACTGTACTTGCGAACACACACATTTAGAAAAACTGACATCAAAGCCATTTTTGTGTGCCAGTCCTAGGGCTTAACTCAGGGACATGGGTGCTTTCCACTAGCTTTCCACCCAAGGCTAATTAATGCTTCCCCATGAACTTTTACTTCTTGATTTTTGGTGGCTAGAGATGAATCTCAGACTTTCCTGCCCAGGGTGGCTTTGAAACTTAATCCTCAGATCTCAGCTTCTTGAGTTAGCTGGATCACAAGGCATGAGCCACAAGTGCCTGGACAAAATGAGTTATAGCACACTGCTGCATTGTTGGCCACATTCTCCACTCCTTTTGTCACCTATCCATATAGGGCACTCCCTATAAGGGCGTATCCTCCTTTATACTCCACTCAGCCAAGTGACTTTAACAAATGGGATGTTGACTACTTGCTCGGGATTATCATTCCTGAGGCCAAGTCTCCCTCAAGGTTGCAATCTTTTTTTGGTTGGTCATGGGGTCTGAACTCTGGGTCTGGGCGCTGTCCCTCAGCTCTTCAGCTCAAGGCAGCGCTCTACTACTTGAGCCACAGCACCACTTCCGGCCTTTTCTGCTTATGTGGTGCGGAGGAATTGAACCCAGGACCTCTCATGCATGCAAGGCACTCCACCACTGAGCCACCTTCCCAGCCCTCTTTCTTTACCTGACTTACTCTAAGCCCTCTTACATCACCTTTGTAATATTAAATGTGGCTTGGTGGTAGAGTACTTGCCTAGCATGCATGAAACCCTGGGTTCAGTTCCTCAATACCACATAAACAGAAGTGGCACTCTGGCTCAAGTGGTATAGTGCTAGCTTGCTTTGAGCACAGAGAGGCTCAGGGACAAGCCTCTCCAAGCCTCAGGACTGGCAAAAAAAAGAATGAAGTGTCTGCTTTTCTACACACTTAAGTGAACACCCAAAAAGCTGAATTCATCCTAGGAGAATTATGTTTCCCAATATTCCAAAGTAAGTATCTAATTCCCAGTTTTTACAAAGAATTAGTTTATTCTTTCATGAGAGGCTAAGAAAAAAAATGGTTACAAAAATCAACAGATTCATACAAATTTCATAAACACAATTTATTCTGAGCAAATCATTTCATAATTACTGAAAAATTACATATGTACACAACATACTGAATTATCCAAAATACACATAGCAATAAAAAAGGTTAAGAAATTTACAAAGCTGTATAAAATAAGTTTAAAAACCAGACTGATGCAGTCTATAAAGTCTTTTCAAGAGAACTATATAATTACACATTTATGTATGTTTTTTTAGTGGATAAAAGAAAGGATGCTTTAGAGCTTCTTTGAGTGTAATTCTTTTGGCTGGATCATATTCCAACATTTTCTGAATAAGGTCAAAAAGCAGTTCATGTTCAGTATCCTGAGAAAGCATAAACTCCTGAAAGGAAAAAAATATATATAACAGACTTTTCTATCTTTTCTCAGTGATAAAAACAGGGGAAATGAAGTTATCAGTAAATTGCAAGGTCTTGGGTTCAATCCCCAATGAGGGAAGAGAAGTACTTTCTATGCATATGTAAAAATGAATAATGAGCTGAGTGCCAGTGGCTCATACCTGTAATCCTAGCTACTCAGGAGGCTGAGATTGGAGGATGGCTGCTCAAAGCCAGCTCAGGCTTCAGGAAGTCCTTGAGACTTCTTTCCTGCTCGGGCTGGCTTTAAACCGAGATCCTCAGATCTCAGCATCCTGAGTAGCTAGGATTATAGGCATGAGCCACTGGCACCAGGCCTTGAGACAAGTTTTATCTCCAATTAACCACCAAAAAACTGCAAGTGGCCCTGTGACTCAAGTGGTAGAGTGCTTTGCCTTAAGAGGAAGAGCTTAGGGACAGTGCTCAGGCCCAGAGTTCTAGCCTCCTGACAAAAAATAAAATAAAGATGAATGACAGTGGGAATATGGCTGATGGTATACATCGTATCCAGATGGAAATTTCACAATAAAAACCCTGCCCTCTGCAACTAATGTACTCACAAAAATCCCAAGAGCAAGCAAGGTCTTAATTATTTAAGGGATATTCTAGGCTTACCTTTAGAGGTTTACAGCGCCTTGACACATATCTTCCAGCAGAACTGTGTTCATCCCAGTCTAGTCGATCATGGTGGAAATATTTACGTTTCCTAAAAAGTTAATATTCATACATGTTCATAAACACTGATTTCAAGCATTTCTAGCATCTAGAGCAAAGATGACTGGTTGCTATGCTTTTAGAGATTAAATATTAATGCTTTTCTAGAGATTAAAAGTTATCCCTTCCCAGAAAGTGGATAACTTTGACCACGTTGATTTTCATATAATAGTCTTTGTTAAAAACATGTTTTTTGAACTAAGGTCTCACTCTGTGTTCAATTAGAAATTCTGTCAGCGCTAGGATTATAAATGTGTGTACCAACATAACTAGATGTTAAAATCCTAATCATTACCACAGAATTGAGCATAGCATTAAGTTT